TCTCTCTCTCTCTCTCTCTCTCTCTCTCTCTCTCTCTCTGTCTCTATCCCACTCCTCCTCTCTCTCTCCCCTGTGCACCTCATGCAATATTTGTTTAGGATTATTATCGGTTATTAATGTTGCTGTAATTGAAAATTATTTTCACTTTTATGCTTATCATTATCAGTGGCCATTACAACTGGCAACTGGCAACTGGCAACCGGCGCTGTGGCATGTGGCATGAACCATGGTGGCTGCCTGGCTGGCTAGCTGCCTGGATGCCTCGCTTAATATATTCGCAAACGCATTCGCATTGCATCATTATCACTGGGGAATTATTGTTTACCGAGATTTAAGCGCACTTTTCAATTTTATGTTCATGCATCACAAATACACACATATATTTATACATATATATATAAATATACAGATACGTATGTATATCTATATAATAATTATGCACTGCCCCATTGCTCATTATGCCGTTTATTCATCTGCCAATTATTCACATACATTTACTTTCCTGCTTTCTGTTTCTGTTTTTCTTCTCATTTTTTTGTTTTTGTGTATTTTTTTTTTTTTTCCTGATTTAATTTGTATTTTTTTTTTTTATCTAAAAGAGCAGTTAATTGAACATGATTTAAGGGCCGATTACAATGCACAGCATTTAATTGCAGTTTATTAAGATAAAATTGATTTTTGAAAAAATTGCTTGCTTCAATATTGTTAAATACTCGCTTTAAAATATATCTCTCTGGCTGGACAGCAAAAGATTTGCTTGCAGGTGCAATATATATCTATTTTTTCTTTTTTATTTTCAAGAGTTTGTTTCAAGATATTTGTATTGAATTAAGAAATTAATGTTTGAAAAAATATATATGCAGGGTTGTGCATATTCGACATACCCATTTGGCAATTCTATATCTTTTGGCAAACCCTATAAGAAACCTTGCTTATATTTGAATGAAACTTGTTTAAATATTTAACATATATTGGAATTTATATTTTAATATTTTGTAATTCCTTTGAGTTTAATTTGAATTAAAAGAAGGTTTTGAGTTTTTTTTTTCTCTATTTCTTATATACCAATTTAATTTATTATGGAAGAAAATCAAATATAACTGGGAAATGTGTACTAGTATATAAT